GTCCTACTTTCCTTAGAAATGATCTTATGAATGTACTTCTAGGACCACCAGATAGCGCGGAGAATCCTTGAACGATCGCAGTGTCGCAGCAGTGAAACCTGTTAAAAATGGAGGCTGGCGCGTCTGAATAGAAGCCAGAGGCGCGGCAAAACAACTTAAGTAGCACAAATCACTTTCCGTAGGAAATACTTCCGTAAAAATATGCCCACTGAACACGGGGAGGTAATCCGATTCGAATGAGTGTACGATGACTGCGCTAGGTGAAGAGGAAGACGTTAACATCTGTAATAAAAAGGAGAAAGTTTACAATGCGACCAGTCAATGGCACACGCACGTGATCAGTGTTGGAAAAGCGTTGTGGCCATCCCCCTAACCGTCATCTGAGCGAGTGGTTTTGCCTCCAAGAGAACTACAGGGGCGCAAGCAAAGCAGTTTTCCAACACATTTACTGTGTTAAATTTGAAACGAATAAGTTATGTAGCTGGTGGGATTGGTGTGGCGTTGAACACCGATGGGTATCGCGCTTGAAGACCGAAACAATCTGCATGCGTGAAGCAGTGTCCGCTTCTTCAGCGCTGTGTTACCCCGACTTCCCTGTTAGGTGGCGAAGTACCATGCGGAGCAGATAGACTGAAAGCTTCAATTCTATCCCCCCTGTTTTCAATCCCCCAAGTTCTCGGCCCTCCCCTACCTTGTTTCAATAGTCGCTTGTCTTTTACTTTCAACGCACAAGTGAACGCGGAGCGTCACTCCTCTCCTGTCCACAAGCCCATGTCCAATTAAGCGCCCCATTCCAGTTCATCGGCTTCCATTTAGAGCCCTCGCTCCACCTTCAGATTGGCATGCCTCAATATACGCAAATTGCTTCAGATTGGTCAACAGGCTGCACTTGCCCAAAAATCAGAGACCCTGTCGATGGATATCTGCTGCTTATCAGAGACCCGCCTGCAAGACTCGAGCTCCGTGCTCACGCTGCGATCCCCTTCAGGTGACACTAGCAGCACTTTCTCATTGCGCCTATCCGGTGGCGATGCAGCTTCGAGCTGGTGTTGGTATTGCCCTGAGTGCCCGGCCTGAAGCTGCTCTGGTTGATTGGATACCAATCAGTAGACGGATGTGTGCGGTCCGATTGGCTGGCTCGTTCAAAGCTTCGAAGTCGCTTGTGAATAACAGATGTCTATTCGTTATCGCTGCCTATGCACCGACAAACTGTAGCGATGACTCGGTAAAAGGCGACTTCTACCGCCAACTGAACGAGCTCCTTAGCCACAGAAGAAGCTCGGACACTGTAGTGCTGGCCGGGGATCTGAACGCTCAAGTCGGAAAATTAACCACAAATGAGCTGTATCTGGGCAGTCAACATGGTATAGGCTCCCGTAATGATAACGGTGAGCGGTTACTTCATTTGTGTAAAGATGCTCGCTTAGTTCTTGCGAGCATTAATTTCAGACACAGCACCCGCCGGAGGTTGACTTGGTGCACACCAGCCTCGAACCAGCTATGGACGCAAATCGATCACATTACTATCAGTTACCGCTGGAGCGGCTGCGTCCAGAACTGTCGCTCGATTTGGAGCACAGGTGTAGACACCGACCATGCACTTGTGTGTGCTGACCTGCGGATGCACTCTGGTGGACGCCCACGACGACGCTGGGAGCACATTGACACCGGCCAACTGGCGAAGCAAGCTGTTCTGAATGTCTATCAAAGTACGCTGTCATGCGAGTTGGATAAACGCTCACTGGATGCAATTGAAGCTCAATGGTCTCATATTCACCAGACCTTACTAGCAGCAGGCAAATCCTCATGTGGTATGTCTAATCGCCAACATGGACACTGGGTCTCTTCACAGTCTATGGAACTTATAGATGCTCGCCGGCATATTCCGGCTGGAAGCGAACACAATGAAACTCGCAAAGAGCTCCGGGCAAAACTCCGTGCTAGCCTGAAGAGAGACCGCGAATCGTGGTGGTCTCATCATGCTACAGAGATGGAAATGGCCGCTGCCATTGTTAAGCATTGAAAGTTATTTCGTCTGATATGGGAAACGGGCAGCAGGAGACCTGGTGCTAGTGAAACTATACGTGACGAGAGTGGACAGCCTATCCACAACTTATCAAAACGCTTAGAGCGTTGGACTGAGCACTTTAAAAGGCAATTTAATCGGTAGGAATGGTTAAATTTCTCGCCGGCCACTGATCGCCCCGCTCCCTGGGCTGTCCCTTTGGATCCACCCTCTCGCTCAGAAGCCGAGTGTGAGCTCGAACTGCTGAAGTTAAATAAAGCCGCGGGACCTGATGACCTTCCTCCAGCCCTCTTCAAATTCAGGGGACCTGCTTTTGTGGATGATTTACAAGAGTTACTAGTGAAACTGTGGGAGCAGGAAACTGTCCCAACCGATTGGAGCCGCTCCATCATAGTCCCAATTTTCAAAGGAGGCTCACGATCGGAATGCGGCAGCCATAGAGGAATCAGTCTGATCTCCATCGCCTCCAAATTGCTTGCCTCTGTCATCCTTCACAGACTGACTGGCACTCGTGGAAGCCAGATTGGTGAAGAGCAAACTGGATTTCGCCGAGGTCGTAGCTGCATTGACCACATCTTCACCTTGCGTCAGTTGTTGGAGCACCGTCACATATATTGGCGGCCCACCATTGTCGTGTTCCTCGATATCAAAGGTGCATTCGATTCGGTGGGTAGACATGCACTTTGGGATTGTCTACTCAGGAAAGGTGTACCTGAGAAATATGTGAATATTATCCGAGCATTATATGCGGGTAGCTCGGGCAGAGTAAGGGCTTACCGCAAGTTGTCGTCGCCCTTTAATATCTCCAGCGGCCTGAGACAAGGATGCCCGCTGTCACCTTTCCTCTTCAACTTCGCTATTGACGAAGTCGTGGAACTCGCGTTCACAGGACACGACTTAGAAGGTGTGGATCTGCTCCCAGGAGAACAACTTTTTGACTTAGAGTATGCTGATGATATTGCCCTAATCTGTGACAGCTCACAAATGTGCCAAGCGGCACTGGACAGATTAGCACTAGCTGTCCGTCACTTCGGGCTTTGCTTCGCACCCTCGAAATGCAAAGCGTTCCTCCAAGTTTGGTCTAGACCGCCTCCTATGCTGACGCTTGGTGGGGATCAGCTAGAAGTCGTTCAAAAATTCAACTACCTGGGAAGTTGTATCAGCGCCCGTGGGATTGAGGATGAGATCACAAATCGTATGGCAAATGTTCGGGGCGCTTTTGCTAACCTTCGGTACTTATGGTGGCGGCGCGACATCACTATTGCCCTGAAAGGTAGAGTGTACAATGCAGCAGTACGTTCGACCCTACTGTACGGTTGTGAAACCTGGTCGCTTAAAGCAGCGGACCTGAAGAGGCTAGTTACGTTCGACCACCGGTGCCTTCGTAATTTAGCTCACATCTGGTGGGAACACCGCGTGAGCAACGAGCATGTTCGATGCCTTGTTTATGGCACAGGAAAAGGAAATGAACCGCTCAGTACCGTTATTTCACGCACCAGGCTCTGATGGCTCGGTCACGTGTTACGCATGCCAGCCCACCGACTCCCGCGACGTGTGTTGTTTGCGCGCCGGGGGTGTGGATGGAGGAAGAGGAGGGGTGGCCAAGCGATGACTTGGTCCAGAGGAATGAAGGCCCTCACTTCTGAGCTGGCCTCGGTTGGAGCGTCTCGGCTCCCTGGTTGGGGTCCGAAAGACGATGAACACGTTTGGTTGGACACACTTGCTGATATGGCTAGGAGCCGACCTCAGTGGCGTTCGTGCTGTGAATTTCTTTGTCCCACCCCATCCCTCTTAGCCTCCCCCTCCAATCACGGTCTCATTATTTAATTTTATATAATTTTGCATAATATTTTTTTGTTGGTGCACAGCAGCCGGCTGGTAGCTTACCGGAACGATGCCCATCCGTTACCGGTAGTTCAGCCAGCTTTCACCAGTTGCATTTTTTTCTCCTTTTTTCTATTTATTGCGTCACAGTAGCTGAGGTGTTCCCCTCCTCTAGCTAACGTGTATGATGATGATGATGAGATGGACTGAAAGAGGAAATAAAAGATTAGAGTAAATGAGGTGGAGAAGATAAAAGTACAGGAGCATTTTGTGCCATTTTTCGATAACCTATCTGATTTTTCTTAGCTCAGGCCATCACATAAGATTAAGATAACAAGAGATGATACCGTATGGTCACCCATTTGGGTAGTTTGATTACGTGCGTCTCGTCACTAATAGTTTAAAACAGTTAGCTCCGTTTAAAAAGCTGAGAAGCGCGGTAAGAAGACGAAAGTTAGTATATACATGCATTTCGTATTGTCTCCTCAGTACCATTAACAATAAACGGTTAGTGTTAATGGAACTAATAGTGGTCACAGCTTCAATGTGTATCAGAAGTAGCTTGGCTAGTAGACAAGGAGCTTTGAGCACATTCTCAAATAATACGCTTTCTTTTCGCTCTGACGAAGTTGGGATCATATTATTTACGACATAACATACACGCACCTTCCTTTGGGTAGTCCGTTGCTTACATCCCATGAATGTTAAGCGGTCTCAAGGCCTTGGAAAAACAGTACTATTAAGGATAGTAATCGTAAATGTTATCCATGACATGCAATCTCCGTTAGTCTGCATTGATTGAATGATATTGCGTACTACACAGTTGTGGAACCACAGTGGAATATTACTGATAGCAGGGTTTATTATATGCAGCCGGTCGAGGTTTTCTGCACAGCCAGCTCGGGTGACCGGAAGTAAGACGCGTGAAAGACTCCCTTACCACAAATAGATTCATAGAATTTAGGTACCAGAGACTGAAGTGAAACAGGTTACGAAAATAGACCATGTTTTTCTCAATGCTAAAAGGCCAAGATCAAGTTCGGCAATTTCGTAAATCTACCAAATAGGCTGTAGAACGTAAGGATGAACTTGCAAGAATTAATTACTTTCAAAATCTCGGCTTGTGCAATATCTCTTTCGTATAACTCAGGTTTAATGTACTGGAACTGAGTGAAGGAATTGAAACACTCGGAGGTATGAACTGGAAGCTGTTTGGTGCATTGACCGGATCCTGGATCATTACATACGCATGTATGAGTAGAGGAATACGATCGGTGGGAAAGGTGAGTTCCTCACAAATTCTTATAGTGATATTGTGTAAGCTTTGCTCTAAAATCATTTTCCAATTGATTTCGAAGCATGGTTTAAGGACTGGGAATAATGTTTAGTGAAATCTCAACGAACAAGTTAAAAGCATTATTAGAAGTTTTGTGAGTTTTGATACAGTTACTCGCCGTAGTCGACGCGAGTGTACGTTTTAAATTCAGTAATACGATCAAGGAAACTGTATGCAAAATGCTTCGGATAATAGTGGAAGAATTTCATGCAGCCATTTCACTTCAGAAATTTCAAGAGAGCAAGAACGAAGAGACAAGGTGGTATAGAGAGAACAAGGACATATTTCAGTGCCTATGGGTCCATTTCATCAGCATGTAGGGAAGGGGAATGTGGGCCGAGAAGCATCTGCTGTTTTTCATTTTGCACCGTTTCTGATGCCGACAAACTGTGATCATCGGAGAAAAAGGTGTAAATGATGTACAACCTAAAAAACGAATGAACAGTCAGAAGATTCAATTGCTAATAAAATCAAATGTCGATGTATAATGAGGATACATGTTCTAGGTTCAATACAAGGGTCTCTCCTAGAAGGTGAATGACGGAAGTCTACCATTGGGTCTTCAAGGTGGAGATGGGAAGTGAGGATGGGTACAAAGAATCCCACACGGATTTGAACACAGAACTCCAAAATCGGGTGTGTAGCAGTTCGTTGGGTCTAGGCTTCTCTTTAATTATTTATTTGGGTGCGTTGTATCCTGAAAAAGCAGCAGACCAGAGCAGCACCGGCACATATCCATGGAGAACACTGTCTGCACACACGCGCAGTGCAATTAAATTAATAGAGGTTCGAATTGCAACCAATCAAATGCAAGATCACAGGATTGGCTAACGAGTGCTAAACAGAAGTGTGAGTAGGATAAGCGAATCGAGGACAAAAATAAAGCAAAGTATTTGTACGCGACATTTGTGAACATCGGTACGCTGTCGGAGCGGTCTCAATGGACTGCGGAAGAACTAGCCAGTTCAGAAAAATACTGACAGAACATTACATTGTCTGCTGACACGACGGTGTGTTTAGGTGTCAGTTCCCCACAGTATCACAGTCTACGGCCTAAAAGCTCCCCGTCTCACAGAGAAATCCGGACCCGTAGCCCTAAGGATCACAGGCCTGCCTCCTAATCTGGGGGCCCGGGTTCGAGCCCGCGTAAGCACCGGGCGACCCTCCGAGTATCCTTAGCTAAAGTGCGACCGGTGGTGGTTGTGCGACAGCGAAACATCGGCACTGCGTACCGGCGTACTGCTGATGCCTTTGCCTAATCGGTATTACGTAGCCAAGCTTCTGGAGACCAATCTGGTTGATGCAGTCCCTGGTCAAGGACAACTGGTTGTCACTTGGATCATGGAGAGACACTGAGCCTATTAGCAAGCAATAAGGACTCGCACTGATTGTACGGGTGGTAAAGATACTGGAAAGTATGATTCGAGGAAGCTATGCAAACTTTCGGAGAAGTTGGCTTGACGCCAGAGAGAACATGACATGAAAAATAAAAATAAATACGCTTTTGGGGTTCTTCAATGTGCTTTCGAGTATTTTATCGATTTTGCAAAACGTTCGTGGGTGAAATGATAAAGACGAAGAACACATGTGTTGGTTGAAATAGCAAACATTAACATAATTTATAAAGCGGATCGGACGTTTGACTTGTCTACCGCATCGCTCGGGTGCCTAGGGTTGAGGCTGTGTAGGTGGAGAGTCAAGGATGGATAGTTACGAATTATCCAGTGTTCGGGGAGTCATCGCAGGTGCGGGTTCTGGTGTGATAGCATCAGTATGGATTGGAAATGGATCGTCAAAGAAAGCCACTTTGAGACGGTCGATGTGCACTGTTGTTCGGTGACCATTCCGGTTTGAAGTGAAATGCTTCGGTGTTCTTTGTAGAACTCCGTAAGGGCGAGTGTATGGTGGATGCAGAAGGCGCCGTACTGCATGATTGCGGACGGAGACGTGAATGCAGATAGAGAGTCAGTGGTGCATTTGCACATCTATGGTCTGCTCACGGGGCGGTCAGGCGCAGTGAACGTATGCGATGTGCAAGGGAGAATGCAAAGTAGGGCGGGGGCATGCACGACGAAGTGGGAGGTGAAACGAGTTCTCCCGGCAACTTTAGTATTGTGCCGTAAATCAGTTCTGTTGGTGGGCGCTACAAGTCAGCATTGATGCTGCTACAAACATTTAGGAGTGCAAGCGAAACGTTTTCGCGCCAGCTAGGGTCCGAGGAGGCACAAAGGGAGGTTTTATGCTGGCTATGGAAGCGTTTAACCAATCCATGGGTTGCTGCATGATTCGTTGTGTCCGCCTATAAGGAGATGAGGAGCTCGGGGACCGTACCTATTATTATACAATGAAGTTGTGAGAGCTGACTAGAGCAGGCGTTACATTTGCATTAAAATTTCCATTAATTTATTGTATTAGTTGACCAGCTTTTGAAGTCCACCAGATCACTATGCGCGCTTATAAGTAGGCATGTTTCGCTCGTTCATTCGCAATGACTAACGGGTTACCAGACGTCTCACTTCACATATACATGCGACCACTAGGGTAGTGTTGTACTGGGGAGCTCAAGTCGATGGCACCAAATTAAACCCAGACGCGATGTTCAATGATGTGAGTTAAGCACGCGGACGAACCGCTCAGCATCATAACGTGTTTCCCAAGAGCAAAACCCATGAAGAAGTCCTGACGAACAGGCACTTAAGACGGTCCACATGCAGAGCGATCATCAAGATTAACGAGTGACCCCAACAAACAAACGGTGCTTTTGTAGATGTGTTTTATCTTAGTAGTATGATGTAGTCTGTTACGGATAAAAGCGGAATGACAGGTATACGTTATTGCGCAAAACACATAAAAAGAAAACCCTGAGTAGGTATGTGAATCCCAAACTATGAACAACCGATTTCCTGAGTGATGACTTGAGACTCCGTTAACATACCAAAGGTTTGTATATCCATTGCATGTATCTTCGTCGATCCCGAATAATAAGATGCGTACTATTTCATTTTGCGCAGGTTGTCTACTTGACGGCAACCCTCCCTTATGTCCTCCTCACCGTTATAATTATCCGAGGATGCACCCTGCCAGGTTCCTGGGATGGACTCAAGTTCTACATTTTACCCAATTGGAGCGCTTTAATGAAGATACAGGTAGGTTCCAGAGAAACAGTACCTGTTTGATCATAAATGAGTCAGATGTGCGATGATATCGGCTAAATGAAACGGAATGCAGAAAGTTACGAAAAAACGAGAAGTAGACTGTCCATGCGCCTTGATTGTATTTGATTCCGAAGACAGATTATGTTAGGTTGTGTTTAGTTTCTGGAAACATTGGCGCCTTAGCTCCAGATGGACTCACATTAATACCAAGCTGGTGAACAGGAAGGATGCTGAAGAACGCCACCCAAATTTATGTAGAGCATATGTCTAGATCCTACGAACCTAAAAATGACGGACGCTAACGGTCACGATTTGAGACTGCGTTTGTTTAAATTGCAGGAATTAGCGGAATTATGGATTCGGCAAAACCACAAAGGTGACCAGAGTGGCAGGCAACACGGCTAAAGATGAAGAGGTTCGTGGCTCTTAGATAAAAAAGTATTTTTTGTTTGGCAAATGCCAGCCGCTAGATACAGTGGTACATGCAGTATGAGACGGTGGCAGTCAAGACTACGGTCTGATGACGCCAGTTGGAGACCAGGAAAATTGGTTTTACCATCAGAAATATTAGACCTAACCCATAAAACCACTGAAAGCACTTTGCTTTGAATTGATTAGAACTTTTACCAGACTGAAAGTGGGAACATTGATGATTGTTATTAGAAAGCCTCACTCTACAGCCAATGATAATTTCTCGGATGTATCCCCCTAGTGATGTATGTCAGTGCGATATGTAATGAATTTGCAAATTATATATCTGCTAAGCCTATGGTAAATGAATATTTGTCTAAAGCACCGTGCAATAATGGCACCCGCGCCACTTCTCGCTTTTCTCAAGGTATGGATTGCCGCGGCTACGCAAATATTCTATTCCCTTGGGCCAGCTTGGGGTGGTCTGATTACATTCGCCTCATACAATCAGTACGACTACAATATTTTACGGTGAGTCTCTCAGAACGTATCAAATGCGGTGTGCTCGCAGATGCCATATTTCTCATCCGTATAGCACGAAGCGCGCTGTGAGCCCAGTTGATGGGCTAGCACATAATCTTGTCATCTTAACTGGATTAGCAAAATTGGTGGCTATAAGCAATGTGTCACAGGGACTGAGGCAGTACAGAAATGAAGGGGAGATACTCATGCGCTGAGCGGGTTAGCAACAACTACATATCCGAGTAACTTGATCATACATACATTCGGGAGGAAAGGTGGTGGGGAGCAGATGCGAACGAATAAAGTCGATGTCCTAACCGAATCACAAGTGGTGTTAGTGTAGATAAACAGACTGTGTAACACAAGGTATGAAAAATGTAACGGATTAGTAGAGAAGAGTAAGTGAAAGAGTTAAAGCAGAATGTAACACTTGATGGTTAGCAGAGCCGTACCCCAATAGCATTAGGAAGAGATCGTATAGCATAAAACTGCTATGAGGCGATACTAGTTCGAGGAGACATGGGTGTACGTGTACACATTCTGTTGTAACTCTTGTGAATTCGAAGATGATAAACAAATTGTGGTAGCCAGCGTCATACAGATCTGGTGAAAAAAGGATTTTCGGCCGCTTAGAATTCAAGTAAGCGGGTCACAAAATAAAGTAAGATGGAAAGCGATGTTAAGGTGCCTATTATCAAAATGTAATCGAAGACGATACATAGCTTCTCTGTGCTCTGACGTAAAGCTAGAAACTGAGAGGTCATACAGACTAGTGTGTGTGGGGTGTGTGCACATTTTGTAAACACCACATGCTTACAAATAGCTAGTGAATAAAAGGTGGGATCGGTGAGATGAACGCTTCACAGCTTCATTGCACCGCGTCAAAAGCACATTTACCACAAAATAACCGGGCAGCAGGCAGCCAGACTGGTGAGTCAAGTCAAGCAAGCTGAAGCGAGGATATTCAGCCGTAACACACACGCCACTGGTAGTGATAATTACATAAAATTGCAAACATCAGAACTTGAAAACGCGCCAACAATAGTGGTCACTGAGATCACTCGGTAATCCGATGTTGAGTGATCCGTCAAGAAACGGGACAAGTAAGGGACAGCTGATCCGCCGTAGGCCCTTTTGATGACATCTGTGGTTTCGTATATTGTCTGGTCGATAAGTTTGATATAAATTCAGCAAATGATCTATGTGAGGGTTGGCATCACTTTTGAATGCGGGCTCCCCGTAGTACTTAACATTGTTGGGCAACAAGATGTCACTGATGTCGGTTGCCAGTAACCCCTGAAATGTCCTGAAGTAAACACGGCGGGTATGTGGACCTCAGCCTAGAAGGCGGGAAGGATCAAGGAAACTCACGGGTCAATGAGTGATTCTCTCGAACCTGATCTCATCCTAGATCTCGTACACAAAATGGGATCCTCAGTTAAGCGATGGACGGGAGCGTGTATAACATGTCCGATCAGCACCAGTTATTCGGTCTTACCGATGGATTCGACAAACTTATATACTCGGCACCATCTTGTGCACGTCTGCGCTTCTCATTGACGTAGATGCACAAGTTCCAGTCAACACGGACGATGCTCTGAAGGTGACGAGAAGCAAGGGTTTGAAGGTACATAGGACTTTCGGATTGAAGACAGTAAGTCCCACTACTGCATAAGAAAAAAACCTTGCTAGGATCAGGGTAATGGGATAGTCCTTCCGGTGCCGAAGTTGCTTCAGTTTCATGAATGAGATCCATGCTTCTTCGACAATTACCTGCTTCAGTATACCCGTACCTGTTACCACTTATGCAACTATGAAGGCAGTTTTTAGAGGGAGCATAGATTGCATTTGCTAGCAGGGGGGTGGAAAAAACGTAGCACACGATGAGGTCGTGCGATAGAGACTAGCCGAGGGGTTAATCAAAAGGCCTTCCGCCGGGGTAATTCCGCACTACTATTAGAAAAGTAAAAACAATAAACAATGTACATAATCACACACATCTCTATAGCTATACTTTGAACCTACTACTACTAAAAGCAGTTTGTTGAACACACAATTGTAACCAAGATATTAGCATTTATTAATATTTTGATAAAACAGGAAAACGGGGCAATTCCACACTTTCTAACCTAGTCAGGATTTTTTCAAACATCGCGACCAAGCAGTTGGTAGGCACTTGATGTTATGTCTCACAGAAAGTAAAGTTCTCAAAGGTATTTCTACTAGACACTGGCGACAACTACTCGCCATCACTATCCGATATGGAAAAATCAATATTATTGCAAGATTCTGAATCACTCCTCTGCTTTTCTGTGGAATCAATGATGACCTGAGCATACGCACAGTATCGTTTACTTAGCGTCTCAGTATGCACATGCACTTCATTTTACGGAGGTTTTTGTTGTCCGGTGATTTTTCAGCCTTTGCGAAAACACCACAAAACCGTTGATTCATAGTTTCTTTCTGTTCTTGTGAACTGGATGGTCTCTTATTGTCCAAATCACTTCCAGACTTGGGACCTTTCTATTTTATCCAAATGTCTCTGTGGTCTTTTGATTTTTGTTACCTTTGCTGCTTCTTGCTGCTCCATTCGTTCCACACATTCCTAAACAGTCAGGATCTTTCCATAATGTCGTTCAACGCACGTGTGCTGAGTTTTAGATGTGTTTTATTTCAGAAATAGTGACGGCATGTTGAGAAAAAGTGTCACACAGAGTTTCCTTGAACGCTCTGATTCTCAGCCAGAGATTCTGTCCTGGATGTGGAAAGTGGAGCTGAACCTGATTCTGTCGTCATGACAGAATCTGTTGACAGAACTGAAACGACTGACTGATTCAGTTCATTGACGTTCTTCCGTATGCCCACAAATGTGTTGCTTGCCTCGTGCACTCTAGATGGAACATGAACGCTGCCCAGATAAACTACAGATTCATACACAGGATGGAATTTTAGAAAGGTCAGATAGAATGATGCCACATTTGCTAAATCCAGATTTAAGATTTACTTTGCTCAGACAGTCCCTTTTCTATAACTCCTTCAAAATAATAGGAAATAGCTTTTCCGATAAGGCTGAACGTAAGTTCTACCTGACAAATTTACTAAGAATTTCCTCCCACTCTGTCTACACTGGTCTAAAGACACCCACATCAAGCGGTTGGAGCAAGTGGGTTGATTTGATGAAAATTTCATAATTAGAACAGCCTTTTGAATTGCTGCTCTAATGACTTTAATATTCATATGTGAAGCCTGCCTATCAACGATTAACCGAACAAGGTCTATTTTCTGGCAAAAGTAGATAAAATGGATTATAAACCAGTCACTAAAACACCGTCCATCTATAGCATTATCGTATCTAGCATTGTCAGGTCCATGCTGCGTCCAATAAACTCCTATATTTCTGGCCCCATAAAGGATATATGGGGGAAGTATGGTCCCATCAGCCCGAGCACATCTTTGCACTGTGATAGAATCTCTCCTCGAGCCACCAATGACAAGAAATAGGTTTTTGATTCCCTTTTCACGAATCACTTTTAATCGCTTAGGGTCAGGTGAAAGGCCACTCTCATCACGTTGTAAACTCTTCGGGCACATTCATAATGCTATTGATTGTTAGGGTTTCATTAGGAAGCTGAAACAACTCTTCAAGCGTCTGTCTGCAGCCGAATGGACTTTTGACTTTTTTAGCTGCTTTGGAGGTCGGCATGTCAGATCTAGATGTCTCTTTTAAAAACTGCATAAGCAGTCTCGATCAGAAAAATCGTTCTTAAAAGGAATAGTTCTACACCGACCAACAGAAATAATAAACCCCGCACCACTTCTATCATTTCTGTGCATGTGAATCCCAACCCACACTGGGCAATACGAGTTTTAAACAGCTGGAAAGTTCTCCTTCTTCTGCCCCAGTGAGAACTACTTTTCTACCAGCTCCCATTTTGCCGTATGTTTCTTTTACGCGGTCTCGAATTGTCTCCTTTTCCAAGTTGCACAAATTTGTAGCCTTCTTGTGCCCAATGATATCTTTCCTAATTTGATCAACGGCTTTTTCCATTGCAACTGTGTCATATGCTACCCTTTTACTTTGGTAGTTGCGAACCATTGTGAAATGCAGAAATAAATCTATACCAGACCACTGAGAGTCAAAGTAGCGGCCGGATAACTTAAATTCTTATTACATCAAATACGTTTACTTAAAAAGGCTTAGAGCTTTAGGTTTAGGTCATTAAAAAGCGCATGCCAGCATATTATATCTGAAAAGCTCAGAAATAAACATGGAATAAATGCACACCAGGTGAAACTGTCCCCACAAACTTTTAATTTGGGGTGTGCAATTTCCAAAACAAACAAGCCGTCACTCGCGAGCGTACAACCAGCTCATGAGACAAATAATTTAAACATGTACAATTAATAAGGCAATAATAAAATTAATATATCACTCAATTGCTGGCAAAATAATTAGTTTTAAGACAACTATAGCGTTGTTAAGAGTGCAACATGTATACTTACATGCAGATGACTCTGGACTGCTCTTGTCTTCTGTATCTCCATCAAAATGGTTGTAAATGGTGCTGATCGTATGTACATAGAAAGCTGGCAAAATGGTGTCCCTAGAAAAGGAGAGTTCCGACACAGACCAAACTGCATTCCATTTACTAAGATGTTAGATGACTAGAAAAACCGTGGAATTAACCCCGGTGTGAAATTATTCCGACTTACTGTACATCGTCGGCATAATGCCTTCAATCAGTTTCCTCTCATGCAGGAAATAAATACGTGCATCATGGGACTATACAAAGAAGTGCTCTACGACAGAGTCTACGGTAAGACTGGAATAGAGATGTGGAATCAGAAAGACGCTGGCGAATGACGGATATTGTTGGAAAGGCAACCGACAATACGCCTTGGATCTCGAGGTGAACTGATGTGTTGGAGCACTTAACACACACAGTGTTCACATAATCGATGGGAACATCTTTTCGGGTAATAATGATGAGGGTAACATAATAACTGACTGAGTATAGCGTGCACTTGAAATCGAGAAACAAGACTGCGGAGTGGACTACGATATGTGTGACGCTGCTTTGATTTCGGCCACCGTGTAAACGCAGTTCACGCAGTCATGCTACCTGTCTATTCTTAATACTTGTTACGATGAAAAGGAATAAGGACCAGTGGTTTGTGATTGTATTGCCAAAGGTAGAGAGTAAACTAAAGGCTTTGCAAATGCATCGCCTAAAAGGAATAATGCAGCTAGGGTGATGAAATACCGCACTCTATGACCCAACGAGTCTAGTGCTAGTAGCTGAGACTTCTTTCCGTTTGCAACATGCCCGTGATGACAACACAATTGAACCCACCGTCCAAGTAAACAGCTGTACCACTTCGTTCAACAATTCTTGGATCAGTGGCCGAAAGGATTATGCGTCTGCTTTGTAATCAACGTTTCGAATCCGCATAGATGCGGGCGAAATCGCGGTACAACAGGCGCATACATAACCGATGGCAGTCGCGTGGTAGCCAAGCGTAGGCACTGCGTGCCTGCGCATTGTTGATACCTTATCCACAAGAAAACTATGCATTTCGAATCTTGAAAATCCGTTCGGTACTACCAGTCTATTGGTTTCGATTCGTATATTTATGGGATTAGAGTGGAATGTCTAAAAACTAACAGATAGCTAAACGACTAAATATTTTGGACGAATAGTAAGCAAAATCATGTTTTTTTTAGAATAAGCTGTGCTGAAAATTTCTTCTCAACATAATCTCGGTTGTCCATCACTTTTGTCCAACACTGCCCAACCTATCCAGCGACTCAATGGTCATACCTCTGATATGTGGATTCACCAGCATTTACGGTGGAGTGGCCATTTATTCCGTGATTGGACATCAAATGTACCTGGCAAACGTGACGGACATCACACTGTTCCAAGCACAAGGCCCTGGTTTAGCTTTCGTATCATACCCTCAAGCGATAACTCTGCTGCCTGGTGCTGCTATATGGAGTGTTCTATTCTTCTTGATGTTACTCACGGTTGGAGCGGATAGTCAGGTAAGACTGCCACATCGCTATTGCTAACCCCCTTTTTGAATGGACTAGCCATGAGTCTTATCTACCTGAAGCGGCCAGCGAATTCTCGCAAGGATGATTGAAAAGTTTATCACGGCCAAGTGACACACTTGTATGACAGATTTGCGAGAAGTCAATCAGGCCTCGTTCCATTGGAGTCAGATTAAATGTGAACAGGCTTGCATGATCAGACCCAATTCGCTCAATCACTATATCATGAAAATATTCGACGATTCAAGAAGTCAAAGTAAATCTATATGGGTGTCGCATTACATCAGTTGTGCCTGACGTACATAGTTAGGCAAAGGCCTACATCCGGTTGGATTCGACGAGCGATGCACATATGACATGCCCCAAAAGGTAATTAATACTGATATATAAGGCCTCGATAAAAAACAGGATGTGGTACAAAAGCGTACCAGTAATTAGTGCCAGGTGGTCAATAGTAAGCCAAGACATAAGCGTTTGAAAAACGAACTGCTTGTACAGAGAGTGAGAACATTCATGAAGAAATACACAATATCACTGAACTCCACTCACAGTCAGTGACTGTGAGTAACCAGTAGGGACAGAGGCCATGAAAAATGTAGTCATTAACTACATAGTCGGTACACCAGATAACTACGTGTCTAGAGGCCAGGAAAAATTTCGTTTAAAATCCGAAACAACGGAAGACTAGAGTGCCTTCGCTAACGCTAGCGTCTGACATGTAACAACAGGCAAAACATTAGGTATTCCATTCGAGTAAGAGAAATCCCGCCTCACATGCAATTTAAATTCCCAACCTTCTCTCCCACAGTTTGCAACAATGGAGTCAGTCGTCAGTGGGCTGACAGACCAATTCCCGAAGACGCTGGGTCGACACAGAGCGCTCTTTACATTCATTGTGTGCCTAGTAGAGTATGTACTCAGTTTCATTCTGGTCACCAGGGTAAGTTGATAACCAAGTATTATCGCATTACATTTGAATTAGCAACCTAATGTGCAGTTTATGTAAATTGCCACTAGCTAAATTACTTTACCGTATTAGTGTCCATTCAAGCTGGTTTACCGTTAGTTCGTCAGCCCACAAGAAGCAGGCTCATGCCGAAACGAGGTAGGGGGATGACGAACATAATCCGAAAAGAAGGGAAAAACCAAGTACCAACGTTCAGGATCAAATAGAACAAACTGGCAACAAAAAGAAGGAAAACGGTATAGCTCAAGACAGTGAGTACGACTAAGAGCCATTCTGACCTGGATACTAAAATGTCCACGTTATTCACGGTAAGTAACATGCTTTATAGGCGCTACCGAGCAGCACGGGTGTCCACGGTAATTTTTCCAATGTTACAGACAACGAGTGACAATTTAAAACAAAAACTGAATTCAATGCAACTACTTAATACCATCGCAATGAAGTTGGACCTTACCGTGGTGGGATGGTTTGGGTGTCTCAGTGATGCACTTAGCTATGTTCGGTGGTGTTTTTTGCATCTTCCTAGTCACTAATACCAGATGGTCAATGGTTAGAGGCCAGACAAACTCAGCCTCCATGCTCGCCAGGTCACGGATCGAAGTGAGAGTGGCTCCTTAGTCCACAAAACGGACTCTTTGTAGCCCACTGCCAAACCCGCTGTATTGCGGTTAGGTTTTTGAACCAAAGGCTTTGGTTGGGAACCCTAATCGGTCTGGGCAACCTGACAGTATCCTGCCTACGCAATACAACTATGAACTTCTCTCCACATGATTTCTTGATGCTCTGGTCGTCGCAGAGGACAATTAACGACGCCCTACCTTCTGCATCGAGTAGGGTGGATAGGGGTTTGGGTGCTACTGCTCAAGCCTTCCCGTATTCTTATCCGCTTCTAACGCTTTTCACCCTTATCGTTCTGGCCCTCTCTCACCGTGCTTTAATAGGCGTCTATCTACTAGTTCAACTCGCATGCAAATACGGAGCGTCACTCCTGCCTATCGCCAAGCTCAGGTCCAGCCAAGCTGTCAAATCAAGATCATCGGATTTTATTTGGAGTCCTTGAACCTCCCTCATATTGGCATTCCTCGACATACGCACAATGTTACAGGTCGGTGAACAAGCAGCAGTTGCCCGAACATCAGAGACTCTCGATCGATATCTGCTACTTATTAAGAATCCCGCCTGAAAGACTTGAGCTCTGTGACCGCGTTCCGATCCCCTTCAGTGCTTTCTCATTACGTCTATCCGGAGACGATGCACGTTCAAGTACTGGCCAAGCCGGTATTATCCTGTGTCCCCGGGCTGAAGCTGCTCTGGTTGATTGGATCCCAATCAGTAGCCGGATGTGTAAGATCCGACCGGCTAGCTCATTCGAAACTTCGAAGTCGCACTGGACTAATAGGTGTCTGTTTATCACCGCTGTCTACACGCCAACAAACCGTAGCGCTGACCAGGGGAAGGACGACTTCTATCGCCACCTGAACGAGCTCCTTCGTCACAGAAAAAGCACGGACACTGTAGTGCTGGCTAGGGATCTGAACGCTCACGTTGGAAAATTGTCCACGGTGTAGGCTCCCATAATGATAACTGGGACCGGTAACTTCATTTGTGTGTATGTGCTTGCTTATTTCTTGCGGGCACTAACTCCCGACATAGTACCCGCCGGAGGGTGACTTGGAGCTCACCAGCCTTGGACGCAAGTCGACCACATTGCAATCAGTTACCGTTGGAGAAGCTGCGTTCAAAACTGTCGTTCGATTTGGAACATATGTGTGGACACTGACCCTGCACTTTTATGTGCTGATCTGTGGGTGCGTTTTGGCGGACACACACGACGAGGTTATGAGTGCACTGACACCAGCCAACTGGCGAAGCTAAATGTTCTGAATGCTTATCGAAGTATGCTGGCATCCGGGTTGAGTAAGCGCTTACTGAATGCAGTTGAAGATCGCTGGTCTCATGTTCACCAGACCTTACTAGTAGCAGGGAAATCCTCGTGTATTAAGTCTAATAGCCAACATGAACATCAGGTCTTTTCGCAGTCTCTAGAATTTATCGATGCTCGCCGGCACACTCCGGCTGGAAGCAAACACAACAAGGCTCGAAAAAGCTCAGGGCAAAACTTCGTGCTAGCCTTAAAAGATACTGTGAATCCTGGTGGTTTCATCGTGCGTCAGTGATGGAAGTAGCCGCTACGCTTGGTGACCATCTTAAATTTTTCTGTTTGATCCGGGAAACGGGCAGCAGGTGATCTGGTGTTAGTGAAACGATATGTGAGGGGAGTAGACAGCCTATGCACAATTTGTCAAAACGCTTGGAGGATTGGGTTGAGCACTATGAAACGCAATTTAATCGGGCAGAATTTTCAGGTTTCTCGCCGGCCGCTGCTCACGCTTCTCCATGGGCTCTCTTTGAATCCGCCCTCTCGTTCACAAGTCGAACATAAAATCGGACGGTTGTAGTTGAATCAAGCAGCGAGACCAGATGATATTCGTCTAGCCGTCTTCAAATCAGAGGGCCCTGATCTAGTTGATGATTTACACGAATTGCCCGTGAAAGTGCTGGAGCAGGAAACTGGCTCAACAGACTGGATCCGCTCCCTTATAGTCCCAAGCACCAAGGGAGGCTCGTATTCGGAATATGGCAACCATAGAGGAATTAGTCAGAACCCAATCGTCTCCAAATTGTTTGCCTCTGTCGTCCCTCCACAGACAGATTGACACTCATGAAAGCCAGATTCGTGAGGAACAAGCCGAGCTTCGGCAGGGTCGGGGCTGCATCCACCACCTCTTCACTTTGCGTCAATTGTTGGAGCACCCTCACATAGCGGCGGCCCACTGTTATCATGTTCCGCGACATCAAAGGTGCCTTCGATTCGGTTGATCAAGGTACTATCTGGACTGTCTATTCAGGAAAGGTATGCCCCAGAAATATGTAAACAGTATCCCAGCGCTTTACGTGCGTAGCTCGAGCAAAGTGACGGTTTATGGCAACCTGTCGCAGCCATCCGATATCTTCAGCGGTGTAAAATAAAGGGATGCCCTATGTCACCTTTCCGCTTCAAGTTCGCTATTGACGAAGTCATGGAGATCGCGTTCACAGGACACGATTTGAAGGTGTGGAGTTGCTCCCAGGCGAACAACTTCTTGACTTAAAGTACGCTGTGGATATTGCCCTCATCTGTGACAGCTCACAAACGTGCCAAGCAGAACTGGACAGATTAGCGCTGGCTGTCAGCCATTGCGGGTTTTGCTTTCCACCAAAGTGCAAAGCCCTACTCCAACGTTGACGGGGAACGCTTCCTATACTGACCTTTGGTGAGGATCAGCTAGAACTAGTTCAAAAAACCAGTTACCTAGGCAGGCGTATCAGTATTCGTGGAATCAAAGAGGATATCACAGTCCGTATAGCAGAAGCACTAGGCGCCATTGCTAACCTTCGCTACCTATGGTGCCGGTGTGACACCACTCTCTCCCTAAAAGGTAGAGTTTATAACGCAGTCGAAGATTCGACCCTACTGTACGGTTCTGAACCCATGGTCATTAGATCGACAGATACAAAGTAGATAGTTACGTTCGACCACCGGCGCCTTCGCAGTTTGGCTCATATCTGTTGGAAACAATGTAATGTGTCCACTGTCTTGTTTATGGCACAGGAAGGAGGAGCGAACAGCTCAGCACCACCATTTCACACACCAGACTCCGATAGCTGGGCAATGGGTTGTGCATGCCAGCTCACCGACTACCGCGACGTGTGTTGTTTGTGCGCCGGGGGTGTGGATGAAAAAAGATTAGGGATGGCCAAGCTAGGACTTGATAAAGAGGAATGAAAGCCCTTACTTCGAAGTTGGTCTCGATTTGAGCCTCTCGGCTCCCTGGTTGGGGACCGAAAGACAAGGAACACGTTCAGTTAGATACAGTTGTTGACATGGCTAGGAGCCGATCTTGATGGCGTTTGTGTCCAGTTTCTTTATCCTCCGTCCAGTTTAGCCTCCCGATTCAATCAAGCTCGTTTCCTAGCATATTATAGCTTTTCATAATATAATTTTTTGTGGCACAATACCAACCGGCAGCTTTCCGGAACGATGCCCATCCGTTACTGGTGGCTCAGCTGGCGTGCCACGCTTGCAGGTTTCTTTTTTCTTCCTTTCTTATGTATCGCGGAACAATAGCCGAGGTGTTTCCACCTCTAGCTAACGTGTACAATGATGATGATGATGACCTAACACCGCAAATTAAACCAGAGCATAACGACCGTCAATCGGTAACCCTGGATGATCAAGACAGTCAACCGAAGCGATAAAATCCTTTGCACTGAAGCCTAACCAAGAAAGAATTTTAAACCAGAAACTCAATTAATAATTCTAAATGAAAAAATTGGAAAACGCAGACTGAGATGACGTCGTTATTTCGTACATTCTAAAGAATCACGTATGATAGGCACCGGAAGGACAAGATCACGTGCGATTGATTGATGGCGCTTTGAGCACTTAATGATACCTCGGTAAGCTCATTATCACTGTCATATGCTTCTGCAAGAACATTGCACATCGATTCAGATGAAAAAATCAAAGCAGATGCGCAAACAAATGGAATGTTTGACAATGGAATCCGGTGAATGAAGAGGCAGAGCTACTCCAGAAATCGAAGCACGTACTGAGCACCGGTCAACAAGCATTTCTCATACGTAAGCAAAGGCCCCCACATACTTAAGGTCTTTGAAGCCATTTTTGTCGACCGCGAGCGCCCACCGCTATGTGCACGAAAGCAACTGACAGTGACATTAAGCATATCATTGCAGTGTTAAGTGCGAAAATCAGCCGCCAATCGATCACATGAAACAGTGTGCTTCCGGTGTTTATCATTTGCCGCTTATACGTGGTTGGTAAGGTTGCATGAAATGACGGCGTTATCGCACAGTCTGTGTCCTCTAATCTAGAATAATTCATGATAAAATCGGCACCATTCGTCTCCGTGAAATACATGACCGCTCTACTGTGTCATTGATCCCCTTTCCAAGGCTGGATTCCACTACTTCGTGCTTCTCGATTCTTATGCGACCACATTCAGTGTCGTCGTTATCGGACTTTTGGAAACACTGACCATCGCATATTTATACGGTGAGTCTTCTATAGGCAGTAGCCACCTGTTTTTGAAGGTCCGATGGATAAAATGATAAAGCAAAATGCCTAGATTCCTCGATATGTGGTTCCTGTTGCCAGTGCATTGAAAGTCAATAGTTAAGCCATCAAATTGTGGAAGCTGAAAGTGGGTACCACTGCAATCAATCGGTAAAAATGCAGTGGCAGATCAAAATAACCGACCAGGCATCCACACAATGAAATGACCTTAAATCAAAGATCAATACCGGCAATCGTAGATGATCAAATAAGTCGCCAATGGAAAGGCCAAAACAACCTTTGGGTGAAAAATATTAGCGTGGGTGACGAGTGCACCACGGTTCGCAACGACTGGAAGCGTTCATATCCCCAATATTGTAAATGGGGATTAAAGCCAATGAGCAACAGTGGGTGTGATTCCCCAAAGTGGCCTACGAATCGGCACCTTAGTTCCCCCCCCTCCACACACACACACTATCCCAAGAAAGTGGTGGGGAATGGGAGCAGGATACCCCTACTTCTTTGTAACTGCATTGCTCGCGGATCTCAGTAGTATAGTGTTCAGGGCGTCAGCCATGAGCTACTAAGCTCTGAGTTCCACCCCAGCTCAGGCTATCTCCACCTGACGAGTCTAAACCAAGACGAAACCGCGGTCGTGGGGTGTCAGGGTTGGGAAGAGCAACATCCGAATATATCCATTCTTTGTAACTGCTTCTCAAGTGAGTGCGTGTATAATTAAAACAGTCAACAGAGGCAATGATAAATGGGATTTAATAATGGGCTAGGTGTGTCAAGAGCCCCGCAGAGGACCCAAATGCATGCACAAGGGCCACGCACATCTTATACTAGTTAACCTACGTATGGTATATTCATGCATAATTAAGAGGATACAACAAATAAGGTAAAGTCTTGGCTGCAGTGTAGATGTGTATACACGGGTGGCCAGAGAATGGGACTTCTGAAAGCTGTGATCGGATTGCTTGAAGTCAGTACCACTTGAAGAGAGAACGAGTGCGTAAGCACGACGATTGTCAGACGGCCGTTGACGTACTCGGAAGTCCAAATACATAGCACACAGATATGGAACATACACAGGCCAATTAAGTGCACAAAGTGAAGAGTTGCGGTAAGGGATCCGAGTGAAGCCAATATCTTGTGACAAGTGGGATGACCCGAGTGTCATTAGAGTCATTGGCAATGACAAAACCATGTCACACCCCATCCAATGCTATCGTTGAATGAATGAGTTTGGAAGGGCCACGGTGGCGAGGAAGTGAAAAAACAATGGAAATGGTGAGTCGTAGGTAGTACCCAAACATTCGTAATCCAGGGCAAAGTAACCGATGACAAGCTACCGCAAATGACCGATAAGCTGAGAATGGAAATTAGACATCCACAACGTATCATCCACTTATTCATTATACATGTCAGCTATAGGTGGGGAAACATCTCAGCTATTATGAAGAAATACATAAGAGAAGAAGGCGCAACGTAGGTATGCCAGCTGAGCTATAATTGATGGATGGATATCATTCCGGAGAGCCGGCAGCCAGCTACTGTGTCGCAAAAAAGCCATATTATGTGTCATAAATGAGGTCGCCGTTGGAGGCGAAGGAGGGACAAAGTAACTCACGACATGAACGTCACGGAGGTCGGTATCTAGCCATGTCAACAAGTGTATCCAACCAGACGTCATCAACGTTCTAAGCACTCCCAACGTAGCCCGATTATAGATAAAGTGAACGTAGTTTACCAAGCCAGCAACTCGTGTAAAGACGTGAAAACGATAGCGAAATTCAAAGGCAAGGAAAAAACAACGAGAAGGAAAATGATAAAGAATGCGCGTCATGTCAATTGGAGTTCCAGTTCTTTCACAAAATGACCGCAGTGGAACGAGTCAACAGTAAGTATATTACTACATATGGTGACTCATGATAGACAGTCGCTCATGATGAGGCATTTCAGATGGTTTGTATAAGCATAAAGATTGGTTGCAGGTCGATGTGTATAACTGAGCGTAAGTAACGGGACCCGGATAAGAAGAGTGCGAGTTTGCCGAGGTAACTGGGAGAATCACGTTGGCCGTTTCGTGGCAACCCAAAGGAAAAGGTCACATAGACAGAGGTATAGCTTCCATCAAAAAACGTATCTCATTCCATGATGAATAAGATTAGTAACCGTGCCGACAGACTATGAGATTTCGATTTTATATGCTCGGATGTGGAAATACAAAAGCAACTCCGATCCATGTTTTCTTGTCACAGGTGCCAGACGACTTCTGAGAGACGTGGAATACATGATTGGATCGATGCGCAGATTGACAAAGTACTGGTGGGCGTTCACCTGGTGGGGATTGGTGCCTATCATGACGCTTGTCATTATAGTGAACGCCGCTCTGGATCACATCACACACGCCGCAGAGTACCAGCAAAACTTTCCCAATTGGGCTATTATACTGGGTTGGAGCCTAACGGGCTTATCACTCGTGAAATTGCCAATCTTAGCAATTGTCGCACTGCGTCGTCACGGATGCAACTGGAGGAAGGTGAGAAAACTTGTTACTTGAGATGTGGAGTGAGGCTTAAGAATGCGATTTAACTTTGGAAAAAGTCAAGCGCTTACTAGACAGCATTGGTGAAACATGCGCACTGGTCTATTTTTAGCGGTCATAAATATGAAAATTAGGTATTTCAAACCCAAGTGCCCATGGTGGCTTATCGAGAAAACTTTTTAAAAATACTAAAATGCTCCCACTACTCACTAACCATTAGTACCTATCAATCACTGGTTTAGATGTGTAACCAAGTATACAATATAGCGGTGGTTCTCGACCTGGGGATAATTACCCCCAAGGGGGTGGAATGGCAAGTTACGCGGAGCAAATATAACTACGAGGATTGGGTCATCAATCAGTCACAAAAAATAACAAAATCCCTCATCACTATTGCTTAGACATCACTGACTGACCATTAGTGAGTAGTCAGTGAATTAGACAACATACGGTAACAGATTTTTTTTATCCAAAGCGAGTAGAATCCTGCAAAGCACCGCAGCTAGATGTCACCTTTATCGGCTCGCTCGTCGATCATTGTATTTGAGTCAGGCAGTCGTTCGCCACGTCAAGTTACCGAGTTAAGTGAACACTAAGGCGGGAGAGTCGGTCAGCTGATCACGTAGAGAAGGGAAAAAGATTTTACAAAGTAGAAGAGGCAAAATAAGTGACTACTGTTCAAGACATATTGTTACAGTGGTGTTGGGAAGCCATCATCCGAGGACTTGGAAAAGATGGTTGAATCAAATGAGAAGCCACTGACAACTCATTAGTTTGTTCAGGGATCACATACAAAGGGTCATAAGATGCCTTGAATAAGGGTAACAACAAGCGTTGTCGAGTACACAAAAAGATTGGGTTTGGGATCACATAATCAAGGCACGCACAGCATATTGGATGCCAATGTTCATTAGGTGTTCGCTTCTTAACGAGAACCAAGAAAAGGTGTGTAAGCTAATTGTATGGCTTTTAATATTGGTAATAATGAGTATATTTGCAAATGTTAATGACAATGCCACATGCGTTACATTCACCGTACTTTATAGCAAAAAATGTAATAGTTAATAGATAATCCGCATTTTAAATCAAATTTATCTTGAAAGTCTTTGATTATAGTGAGCCTGCTTTGTGAGTAATAGAAAGATTGGGAATCTCTATAGGGATTACAGCGACGAACAAAGCGATCGATGTACACCCAGTGAGCGATGACCGAAGCAGCTTAAGAAAAATTATTGTCAGGTTTAAACGAAAGTTCAATAAATGACAACCGTGTCATGGGGGCTTGTTGGGCGAACCCCTATAACCGGCATGAGAAACACAAGTTAAGTGATCTGTAACGTGAAAACAAAGGATAGATGAAGTTACAACTCAGATGCTCTTATGTGCAACAGCCATCCTTCTTATCAACAGTGAATGCAAAACAACTATGATACAAACGCAAATGCAGGTGGTTGTCCATTTGCTAGACGAAGTGTTCACTGAGCTTGACCACTTTTGTTACAAACAGTTCACCGGTCGAGGTGATATCATCAGTGCGTGGAAGGGCAGCCAAAAATCTAATTCGTCACATCTAGACTCACTCAGACAGCCGCCATACGCCCGGAAAAACACTGTACGCGCGTTGCATCCTTTCGGGAATCATCAGCAGTGCGCATTCCATCGGACCCTTGGTAGGGCTCGAACCCGCAACTCGACTGTTGCCAGTCCGTGGTTGAGACCACTGCGCTACGGGGGACGGCAACGACCATCGTGAATAAGTTACTAGATGTGATATAGCGCCGCTCACTATCCACTGACTTAAACGTTACTGCCGTGCAGAGGACAGGGTAGCCCCCTCACCAAGCGACGAGCTTAGCAAACTTAAGCCGCCAATTATCCTACGGCATTATAAGCAGTTTGTTCAGCATACTGATTACAGGAGAGTAGTAGGGGGATTTGAATGTTATAGGTAGAGATTCGTCACATCTAGACTCACTCAGACATCCGCCACACGCCCGGAAAAATACTGTACGCGCGTTGCATCCTTTCGGGAATCATCAGCAGTGCGCATTCCATCGGACTTTTGGTAGGGCTCGAACCCGCAACTCGACTGTTGCCAGTCCGTGGTTGAGACCACTGAGCTACGGGGGACGGCAACGACCATCGAGAATAAGTTACTAGATGTAATCAGTCCGCAGAACAAACTGCTGATAATGCCATAAGATAATTGGCGGCTTAAATTTGTTAAGCTCGTCGCTTGGTGAGGGGGCTACCCTGTCCTCTGCACGGTAGTAACGCGTAAGTCAGTGGATAGTGAGCGGCGCTATATCACATCTAGTAACTTATTCACAATGGTCGTTGCCGTCCCCCGTAGCTCAGTGGTCTCAACCACGGACTGGCAACAGTCGAGTTGCGGGTTCGAGCCCTACCAAGGGTCCGATGGAATGCGCACTGCTGATGATTCCCGAAAGGATGCAACGCGCGTACAGTGTTTTTCCGGGCGTGTGGCGGATGTCTGAGTGAGTCTAGATGTGACGAATCTCTACCTATAACATTCAACTCCCCCTACTCCTCTTCTGTAAAAATCTAATTTCACGCTCATTTGTCTGAGGAGCTTTGAAACATGTGATGAACTATTCCGTTTTCTTTTAGCTATTCACGCCCGATGAAGAGTGGCAGCTGCAACTGAATAGCCGGAGAATAACATGCACATCGGAGAAAAAAGCAAGAACGGCAGCGATGGACGTGCCTCAGGTATCATCACATTCGTACATTCATCATAGCTCAACTATGTTGCAATGACATGTTGATAAATAAAGGAGTGAACCGAAGACCATCTTTTGTGAAACCGAAACAGCTCATGACAGCCAGCGAAATCGATTCAAAATGTGCAGGAATCCTCAGCAATATCAGAATCAAAATACCACTCGACGCGAAAACAGGTGATGACAGAACGAAGCACTTCTTTCTCGTAAATCCACCTCAATGCCATTGTCCAGTGATGAGCAATCACACACACACACACAAATTGTCTACAGTAGGCCGAGGTAATCGAAGTCCGAGTGAGTACAAAGTGGCATGTGGATTTGAGGATGGGAAGAGAACATGGTGGAGAAGATTGGAACAATGGTTTTTAACGAGTCATTAAGCACAGGCCCAACATGTCCCATAGGTTGATGATAGAAATCTAAATCGGAATATTACACAAGTGGACCAAATAAAATACGCATGGGTAAACCGACAGAGTAATTGCGTTAAAAAGGTGGTTATGGGAGTCAGATAGTACAGACTAAAACTAAGTGAAAAGTTGTGATGGTTAATACTCATAGCAAGTAACAAGCAGATTGCTCACCCCTCTGCGCAAATGTACCTGCGTCACTGTGAGTAGATTCCAAAGTGGCTAGTTGGCCAGGATATACGTTCAAGTAACAAAGTGTAGAGCGTTCAATTGGATATCCAATCATTGTATAAAAAGCGCTAATGTAAAGGCACAAACAACTGGGTTTGGAAGGGCATTCCAGGGTTGGTAGACCCGGAGGGACAAGTAATTGCATTAGCAATATAGACGATTGTGTCGCTGACTCAGTTTCAGGCTATTGTCTCTGTGTTCGGAGTTTGGGCCGAGCTTCAGTAGGTGGGGGAAAAAGTGACTGGGGTCGTTTAGTATGTACTAGATTAATATGAGGTCTCCATGTAGCCGCCGACAGCATCCACTGAACACTCCGAGTGTCTTCAGTCGTTTCTGATACGTAATGCTGCGCAATCCATTGACAAATTTTGTTGCTTGACGTTGGGGTCACGCTTAAGTCGAAGATGCCAAGCCTGGATTGTGTATTCAACGGGGGACGCACGTAGGCATTGTGCATCAGAGAGATGGATAAATCCAAACTCCCGAATGCTCTCCTCAAGAGACCAATTTGCTGGTTACCACTGTTTGTAGCGGATTCTGAGTGTCTGGGACAACAGAGTTCGTCTTGTATCAGCACACCGAGGGCACGTTCCTGAGAGTTTGTCTGCAAATCGTGCACCCCAAGTTTGTAGACATAGGCATGCCTATGGCGGATGCAGACAACGCAGCAATCGTCCACGTTGAATGACAGTGCATTCCTCATCGACCGATGTCAGGCCTCATCGAAGTAGTCCATTCCATTGAGCACCCGCCAAATTTTAACGTCGTCTGCAAAAAGTCAAAATGGTGAAGCGGTAGCTCTCGATGGATCGCTAATGAAAAACAGGGACGGGCGAGGCCCAAGTACCGAACCCTGCTCTACACTGCACTCCACTCGAATCGGGTCGGGCAATGTTCGGACTTTAACCTCCAATTGCCGTTCGCGGAGAAATGTACCGATCCATCCATACACAGGATCTCCGATGCCGTAGAACTGCAGTTTGTGCAGGGGGGATTCGGTGATCCAAGCGATCGAAGGCTTTAGAAAAGTCCATGTAAATAACTTCGGTTTCTGTCCCTTCGTCGACTGTTTCCGTCCAGTTATCATGTGCTATCAGCAGATTCGTAGCACATAATCGATGTTTACGAAACCCGTCCTACTTCTACCTAATGGTGCCGTAGCTTTCCAGGCAGCCCATCATTACATCAGTGATGACAGCTTCCATGACTTTCGCGAAACCAGAGAGAAGTTACCAGACGGTAAATGGCAGGACCAGATCGAGTTCTTCCCTTGTGAATGGAGGTTGTACTACCTTGTTTTCAAGTTAACGGAACTATATTTTCGTCTAGACAAAACTGAAAGAATGCGGCAAATGGTTGGGCTAGGTGCTTGGCTCCTATCTGGAGTGCTTTAGGGTGAATATTACGCACTGCAGGATAGCTGGGTGTACGAAGGAAAGTAGCGTTTACAGCACTGTTTCTGCTTTGAATGTGATGCTGAATAACACTGATGTGCTGACAGAAGCAAGTAATGTTCGAGGCTTGTACTCCTTGGAAAGTAGGTAAATACTGGGCCCTTAAGGCGTTAGCTGCCTCCTTTTCTGGGTGTGTATACCCAGTAATCGTAGTGAGTTGTGGGATTCCGCGATGCACCTTTCGAAGTGCACTCACCCGTCTGTAAAGAAGCTGGTGATTCGAAAAGAATCATTTCACTAACTCTTGTTGTCGTGATAAGTTGTCTTCACGAACCAATTGTACGGAATAATTGCGTTGAGCTGATTTTGTAAAGGCATCATATCCAATCACTCAATGCCATAAATTTTCGTGTTCGGGTTCTCAAGAAGTATTTTGGTTTTATGGGACGGTGGAAAGATTTTTGCGCTGATGCGTTGGTGACTAGTGACGTGAAGGTTTTCAAGAATCACTCACAGGTTAACTATGGGGTGCACTCAGACGTGAATGTCCAACTAGCATTTTTAACGAGTGCGGACAAAACCTGATAATGCTTAAAAGATTGCAACTTTTCGTAATCTATATAAGGGTGTCCGGCGTAGCAAATGTAATCGACCAATAAAGTCAAGTGGTCGCATCGACCTAAAGGACTGCATACATTTAGCCCATCAATCATGAGCTCCTTGTTGGTGAGCACTTGATCTATGATGGCTTTTTCGCTGTTCTGAACCTGGTGGGATCGGTGACGTGATCGTATATGGGTGTGCTACAGGCTATCTCTAGTAAACAGGCCTTGAACCGCTCTGCTTCGGTTGCTGAAGTTGCCAAATCATGGATGTTGAAATATTCAGTAATGAGGATATGGGTGTATTTCTGAGTTACCACAATGTGAAATGTATGGTCCACCTCCGGAGCGGATTTTGGTGGTCGGTAAACTACGGACACGAGACATGTATAGTCGTCTTTAAACCAGTTTGTACGAAAGGAGATCAATGACACACATTTGAGGATCATCCATGAGCTCACAACGAAGGTTTGTATTGTAATAAATGATCACTCCCTCTCCCCTAGCCGTTCTGTCGTTCCGAAGAGGTGACATAACGGGTAGAGCGATTCCAACGTCGGCAATTTCACAGCGCAGCCACGTTTTTGTGACCATTATATCTCGGACGCCTGACTGTGAGGGAGTTCGACCAACTTACTAATAAGGCCTATTGCGTTAGTATATAAGCAGGTCAGTTGCTCAGTAACTAAAAGTGAATCATTGGACTTTGGACTAATATTGGAGATTGTGCCCTCGTTTAAGTGGTCAGCCACTAACCGTTTTTCGGGGGAGCCGTTGGCCATTTAATTTCGGTCGGTTTTGGCTGTCCTGGCCCTGATGGTCTCTCGTGCTTAGTAGTATTCCGTAGGACGCTAAGGTTGCCATTAACTCTATCCCTTCACAGAGTTGTATGAGAAAAAGATTCACCAGTTTGGTCGTTCGCAATTAGTCGTTAGTCACCCCTGGACGTGTACCCGCAGTCTCCAAGCGAATTTCTGTAGGTTAGCCTTCTGCGGAAGTTAGACCAATTAGCCAATATAAGCGGTGTCATTAGTTCAGACTGAAGTATCACTTTCATCAGCCGGGTACCGTTCCCCTGTAGTTGGGTGACGCTGGAATTTTCGTCAAACACTTTGTAACGATACTGTGGAGGGAGAGTTTCTGGCGGATGTAACTCTTGCTCCCAGTCGTGTGTCGCTGCTTCTGTAGAGGATGTTTGAAGCTCAGGAACCCCGTAAACAATAATCGTCAGATTTACGAACTTTTCTGTTTGTTATTCGCTTCAGAACGTTCGTTCTAAGGGCTATCCGAATGAATGCGCTTTGTGTTGGCTAGTTGAGGTATTAGCATGGCCACATTCATCTCCGAGGAAGCGATCTTATTCACAAAATGCGCGATTATCACAGTCAACTTATCGCACATATTTCATGAGCAAGCATAAACAGCTGACAATTGAAATGATTTGGCATGGTGGACAGAATTAAAATATGCCAGCAAATTGGTTTGTTTGCATCGCTACTTTGACGGATTTTCCTATACCTTGCGGATGACCCAATCCAATGCAGCTAGAACAGGTTACCCGACCTTAAGGACTTTACCGCAATTCTCTGAGGTGCATATGCGGCGTTTCGCCATGTTTGGAATGCTGGCTGCATTGTTGTCGTTTGCAGCCAGGTCTATCTGAGTGGTCGCTGTAGTAATGACGCTCACGTTTGATGAATGATCGGTGAGCCAGATGTGAACGTGACACAACATCAAAAACCCACACACTAGGTAAGATGGCTGAAGGCCGGCGGTTTGGATGCATCAGACCTTGTCATGACATTGGTCGTTTGCGCACACCCGTCAGATGAGCCGCGATTAGGAGGGTCAACGGAGCGAGTGAGGTGGCTGCTCTGGTCGCCGGCGCATTCGTTGACTAGGTCACAAGGAGTGGTGTTGGGCTTTGGGTAAATGATCAGTTCCAAGTGAATGCTAAGCAAGCAGTAACGTGGTAAGAAATGCGAAGTAGCTTCAGCAAATGGCACTACAGAAAAATGATTTTTGAGTGACCTGATATTTCGAACGGGTGTAAAAAAAAAACAAAGTGCTTGAAACTAGATCATTGCAGTGACAATTTTCAGCAACAAAATCCGTCACAAACGCAGATGTGAATAAGACGGTGAAGCGATAAGAATAATCCGAAAGATAGGTAAGCACCTTGTAGAGCTGACAAATCCGAAGTGAATGAATTTAAGCTCAACGATGTGCAACAAACTGGTGGGAATTGGCCACCAAAAAGGCAACAGCGTGGATTAGGATCGACCGTACGCGGGCATGACAACACAGTTGTTACCCCATCTGATAGTTGAGGAAACTTAGCTGATTGCTGATCGCAGGATATGGTCACTTTAGACATACAAGGATGGCCTTGATTTATGTTATCACTTATGAACTCCGACCCCACATAGACCTCATTCACATACTGAAAGTGTGGATGTCTA